AATTGGCGCCTGACCCATGGTCTGCGCAGAGGTGAACATGTCGATCGCCGTTATCTGTTTTCTGGACTGACAAAGCTAACTGCTCTGGTTCTGTGTGCACTAATATTGGTTCTCAACTTTTTCTCACGAAACGCTTTGACGATGCTATCCTCCTTTGCTGGCCCCGTGCCTCTGACTGAGCATACTAACTCGTGAATCGGTGGGGCGATGCTACGAGTCTGCGATGCACCACGGAGCCATTTTCCCGTCGGCTAAAACACACCGTTGAGGTTGAATCCCCATGCTCAGGGTGTTCAGTACACCTCATTGACCAGTCGAGCCGGTGACCGAATACCCGATAGTTCAGAATTCAGTTCATATGCCTTACTATGGGTGGTATGGAATCGAGGTTCACTGGCTCTCTCAATCAGGCTAGCTGATTTTAGCCCGTCAGTTGGGTTTTGATCCTGGCTTTTTGCACAGTTATTTCACTGAAAACGCCATCATTACTAGAAGACGGAATAGCACTTCTCTGTCGGAGGCTGTGAATGCAGTTCCTGTGTAATCACTTTAATAGAAGCCTGGGGTGGTTATATTAATTTGCTGAAACGCTTGACGTATCTGGGATATTGGGGGAGGGGAATTATAATATAATCCCTACTGTAATTCCTACTGTAACTCATCTTACCCTGTATCGTGATGAGACAACGTCTTAGTAGTGTAGACCAATTCATAGGTATCTCACCGCTAGTTGCTCAGTCACGTGCATTGAAATTCGACGATAATCAGCAATCTGCTCAAACCGGAAGCACATCGTTTTCACTCCGACAGTTGCTTATTCATCTGTGAGCGTTTAATTTTATCCCGAAACGTCATTTTTCTTTTCATTTTCACTTACTTTTATTAAATATTCAAAGATACAATTTTCAGGAAGGGGGAAGCGGCCAATCAAAGGACTGCCATTGAACATACAATTTGGAAAATAAAGTGGTGATGGTGGGATTCGAGCATCCCCGGGGTGGTAATTTGGTGGCATTACCATGTTGTTATTTTGTTATTTTATTCTCTTAGGGGAAATTACATTCATGCTGATTGTCACATAATCTCTTCAATCGGTAGTCATATAACATTTGGACAACACCGCGCTACATCTTCCTATTGGGGTCTATTAAACTTATTGATCTATGGTGTTAATTGGTGTGCTTGGCCTGCTCCCTTCTGGTTTAAAACAAACGATATTAAAATCAATAGGTGTTTGGATCCCTGTGAAAGTAGATAAGACTGGCTATTGATTATGAACACCATGTACGCTGAATTTTTTTCACTAGCACTTGGTGCTAGTCTCTTAGTTTCAATTTGACCTTGTTCGGAGTCACGTGATTCTCAATGATCGTGTACTGTAAAGATTTCTCTCGCGATCTGAAGGTAAATGATGGGTTAAAGTGATCGATACCAATTGAGTTTAGATCACGCCCTTCTAATCTAATAGTTACTCAGAAGTCATTTTACCCTCAACGCATTTGAACGAATCGTTATGGTTTAACTGGTTACACCTAAAACGACTATAGAAAAGCGAGTGGGAGTGTACTTGTTGCGGACCTGCTGATGTATGCACCTTATGTCCAAACTACAGCAAATAAACCTGTGAATGTTAATCTCAATCACCCTCCCAAGAGGTATATCTTGAATGAATTTATCGAACAACTGTGAAAACTAGTTCGAGTTGGGGGACTAATCTAGTCGCGTTTTGAAGCCCAACCCTGAAGATAGTGAATCGTCATTTTAACTGATCTGTGATCACATAACTCCAGAAATGACACTTTACTAACTGGTACACAATTATTGGATATACCAACTGCTGCTGAATTACACTTATCACATCTGAGCGCGCATATATATATATATATACATATATATATATATATATGTATAGAGAGAGAATTGAGGCGTACACTGAATTATCAATTGCTTATTGTAACGTTTTGATTCAAGCTAGAACTCGTTATCAAACAAAGGAAATGACTAAGACGATATATTGATTCATATGCAGATAGATACATCACGAAAGGCATGTAGTTTGAACTATTTAGATCCGCAAAGGAATGCTTGGATAAGCCGCCATGAGAAAATAACCAATTTTGGTGAAAACGTTTCTACCCTCTTGGAAGGACTTTCCCTAGTCAACTAACGCGCGAACATTAAATAAACTGTGAGAGAATCCGTGTAAAATGGTCTAGGGAAAGGGAAAACCTGTGTGTGTAGTAGTAGTAAAGGACATCATATCAAGTTTTGAATGAAAAAAGTCAAAGGGAGACAGGGGACGTCATAGCTGGCGGAAGATTAGAGACTTTATGGGAAGTTTTGTAGTGTGATGATATTTAACGATGTGTAGGTACGCATGGATGTGTGTGTTAGTAGTAGTTGAGTGAGTATCATCAAATCAATGAACTCCGTCCAACCCATAAAAGTCACTTGAAAGTGTAAAAACTTCACTCATTTTCTTATTTCTTTGCTTTTTCAGTGTAAAAACGTTATTGCGTAATTGGTTACAGAAATGTATACAAAGTTCCACGAATTCCTTCTTGATCACTAAAAACATTTTCCATGTGTATCCACCAAATTCTTGTTTTTGTTAATCCTTCAAAATTTTCCATGAAAATATTTGCTGAAATTAGTGACATTGGAAAACTCATTGTCATTCCTTCGGACTGTCTTTGTGAAGCTGCGTCGTAAATGAAAAGAGTGGATTTCATGTATGTCTGCAATCCATACTAACTGATACATTTCTCGCCATGACATCTGCAAACAACGTAAGTAAATTGAATTTATCGAAAAAAACCATTTATAATTGGTCATTCTGAAGTCCACGAGGGTGTAATGTAACTAATGTAACTAAACATCAGAACAGCCGAAATTTCTAAACCTCAAAGAACCATCAAACAGTCATCTGGACGACCTTTCCAATTAGTCGGTCGCTTTTACGGAATGCGATATTTTATGCAGTTAGATGTTTCAACTATGCTTGCTCACTGCGCCACCTATCGATTGTAATAACGACTGGTACACCTGACCCCTGAAGTAGTTGTCTAATTGGGTTGGTAATAAGCCCCTCCATAATAATGTAAAGCAATTCTATACGAAAATATGATTTCCTAACTAAGGCTATGCTTTATTTTTGAGGTCAGGGAAGCACTGAATCACGAGTTAAACATCAATCATAAAACTAGGTGGTGGTGGTCAGTCGGTGAATGTCAATAACTTATCGCTTCGGTGGCAATGTGTTCGAACCCCACTATCACAATCCGACTTTCTCCATCTCATTTTGTCACATGTCAGCCAATTGGTGAGCTGCTTTTCCCTCTCTGAAAATTGTTTTTATTATCGTCTGTTCCACAAAAGGCAGCACCGGTTTAATGGGAAGAAGAAGTTTATGCAAGAGGAACTTGACTCGTGAATATTGTTTCTTGTGGTCGACTTGCATCATTTTCGGAAGAAAACAGCTGTTACGTTCTCGGATCAAATGACCAGTGGGCATGCGTCACACACTAAACCACATGACATGAGAGACAATCAGAACATTATAAGAGGTCACGGTCAATGACAGTCTGTTCACATACTGACCACTGGCACACCGAACAGTATCAATGAAGCATGAAAACCTGTCGTGGAAATGTCAGTATTATTTTCCCCATTCTTCTGCTTACTAAACTTGGAGATTTTTTTGTAAACATTATCTCATCAGCCAAGAAAACAAATTGTGGGTCTGTGGTAATAGAATTTCGGAACTGAGCTCCAAACGTTTGCAAACTTATTGGAGGGAACAGAAAAACAATGCGACTAGTCAACCTGCTCTACTACAGGTGATTATTGTTAGTGTTGGTAATCGAGCGGTTTGAGTGAGCAGTGGGTTTAACTTACTCCTATGGTTCACATCTTCCACCGCTCTTTACCCAATGGTATGATGATAAGTGTGTATACCTGTTAAACCCGATACTTCAAATCTAATTCTGAAAAAGAGTATGTCATACGAGAACCGCAGTTATAGCCGGTCTGTCTTCTCTCTTATCTGATAAGATTTCTCGCCCAGCCGGGCCCAATGACTTTATAACATTATGGTAAGCCACCTGACCCTTTCACACCTCAATCCATTCTCTTATGTGCTGTAGTGGTAGAATGCCTCCACGAGCACAGTAATGACCAGTTAGACCACCTATCGGGAGAACAATGTGTATGTAATTCCGAAAGCCGCCGAAGCTCGAAGTAAGGGAAGGTTTGTTGTGATGGTATGCTTCAGACAAGCTTAATTATTGGTCTGCGATTTCCCCCCGGGCAATCTGTCCATTTGCCCCTGGAAAGAACTACGGAGAACTGTACTGCGGGCGGACAAAACTCTCATGGTCTTTCTTTAGTAATTACTTCATCGTTAGGTCTGTCCGACAATGAACCTCTTCAAAGTAATCTTAAAATAAACCGATACGTTTTCTGTTCTGCTGCAGGTTTCCGTAATCTGAGTAAAACATTTGACGGAGTATTGTTTCGATTAAATTCTAACTTGGTTTCGGAGTGGTATAACATTGAGCTCTCTACCAGAGAAGTCACAACTGATTCCGTCGAACGTGGTGCTGATGGTTGTCACTTTGTTTCCTCCCTCTAACTGTCAAAACCATATCTTGATTCCAGTCACCCTGTTTCGGTGCTGCATGAACCAAGCAAATAAGTCAAAGTATAGTTAGAAGAAACCTTGAGCAATTGTTTCAAGATGAGATGGACCAATAATAATCGGTAGATTTCGTTTTTTATTGAAGGTTTGAAATTGGTACGGCCACTTGATGTATTGTTTAGTTCATTTTTATGACCTTCCATAATTCATTTCATTAGTTGACTGCAATTCTCCAGTGGTTTCATTCAAAACCAGTGAGCATCACACGATAGGCTGTTTAGCTTTTCGTTTTGTCAACCAGCCCAATGATGAGTGAACGCACATTACGATCCTCTCGTTTCCTTGTCTCGGCTTCTGGCCGCTGCCCCCTGTTCTCCTACATTCAGCACTCGCGAGAATTGAAAAACAGCTTCAACAGAAAGAGGAAATCATCGGTCATGTGAAAGAAGAAAATGCACGTTTAGAAGCTGCACTAAAACGTCTACACGAGGGTAAGTAACTCCCCTTCGGGCCTTTTTGTCTTGCGTACTCATTTCGCCCAGTGTGTGATAATGTGGTTTCTTGTATTGTATGTCTTTTCGTGATGAGAGGGGGTACGGAGAGAATGCATGCTTTACACTTTTGATTTTATCACGTAATACTTGGACGATATACACCTCCTTGCATTATATTTGCCCTACTCTAATAACTCGACTAGCTACAATGGAGACCGGTACTCGGTTAGCCTTCCCCCCTTACACAAAGCATTAGTTGTATTCTAGTTCGGCCGGTACCAATCGACACGTGACCTTGTCTTTTTGTATTACACACCAGCAGAGAGCGTGGACCACAGGGTCACAAAGACCTGATATTCAGTGATGGTAACCGGTAACCTAAGCCCCGAGACTTGGAGTTGCGAACCACATAAGGCCCTGCTAGGTTAGGCGTGGTGTTGAACCGGAAGTCAGAATAGCTGCCTACCACTTAAGTTGAGTGGCGATGGCGGGACTCGGACCACATGATCCAAAGGACGCCGGTAACATCGACTAGACCACTGCGCCACCACCACCCAACAACAATCTCTTCAACACATTATTCAATGAAGGAATCCATTACTGTTGGAGATTTTCTTTCTCGTTTTGTCTGTTTAATGTTATCCGTTTTGCGTTGTAATCATATGTGTATGACCGAAAAGGAGATATCCTGAATGTGAGAATCGAAGTTGACTCCCTGCGTTAGGTATGACAATTAGTGGTCTCTGGAACAACTCAGACAACAAACCGAATCCCCGAGAGGTGGACAGGTTACACTTTCGAAAATGCATTTTGAAGAATAAGGACTGAAAATGCGTCTATCGGTGATCCACATCACTGCCGCACGTAGTACGGCAAGTTCTCCAATGATACCAGTGTGTTCCCTAGATATATGCCAGTGCCACTATATCCAAGATCCCAAAATATGCAGATTCCTGTAGGTTCACGTCGAGATCTCCGTTTGTATCTACAGGTTATACGTCAAGCAATTAAAAAATGGCAGTTTTCCATGATAGATTGGTTGATAGTTTGAAACTGGAAGTGATGAAACAGGTATTTTTACTTAAGGATTTTACAGAATAGCTATTTTTTGGTCTCCGCAATATTTATGCAGCGGCATATTCACATGTATATTGCGTAACTTTTATAACACTAGGTTCTTATAATCCTTTGAGTCCCTGGTTGCAGCAGTCAATAAGGTACCCTTCCTATGGTTGGTCTACGGTAGTTTAGGTCCTTGTCATTAGTGCCCACCGGCCCCGAAGGTTCGAGGTTGGAATATCAATACTGATACATCAGTGCTGAGTTAGTCGGTTTTGTTGTTACCTGGTCCAGTTCCACAACTATCTTTTTAGTGTCTTTGTGGTTCGTCACTCTTAGATTCAAAGTTTAAGTTAGCAGTTCCCATGGTTAAACAACACTTCTTCCGGACAATGGATTTTATTGTTTCGATTGTTCACCATTCAGGTTAAGTTTTTACAACCATTAACCATGCACTTTCGTGCCCTGCTTTTGATTTCTGCCTCGTAACTGCCCATTTGGACTAACCAGTAGAAGAAATACAGGGAAGTGGTGGTGGCGCAGTGGTTTAGTCGCTGTCACCGGCATGCTTCGGACCCTGTGGTCTGAGGTTCGAGCCCCACCACTGCCACCCAGTTTTGGTGACAGACAGCCTTGCTGTCGCCCTGCTTTATGCCACACCTGACCTATCGGGGCCTTTTGTGGTTCGCCACTCCAAGCCCCAGGGTTCAGGCTACCGGTTACCATCACTGAACAGCAGGTTTTCGTGCCTATGTGGTTCCACTCCGTCTGTTATCCATCACACACCGGAGTATAATTTAAAAAAGTTGAAAGTAGATTCGCAGAGAAAATGGAGAATCCCAGTAGACTAAGGTTGCGAAGAAGTTGATATGCAGGAGCACAACTGTTTACGACTCTCAGTCAGATCACTCAATTTATTTGACCACTGATTACAGTGATGCCAAGATCCCCATCCAGGGAGTCTAACGTGATCGACTGTTCAACATACTGATGTATGGAATCGTTTTTTCAAAATAACTGTCCTGTGTTTCTTACAAAGTTTAAAGGAAGTTGCTTGTTCGCATGCTATTTTCATGGATTAGTTCATCACGTGGCTTTCCATGTTATTTGTTTTTGTGCTTCCAGAAGGTGTTTTGTTTCGCGTGTGACAATAGTCACTGTCCAATCATAAATATCGAGTTTGTTATATACTGTTGAATAAAGACCCCCTACCAGTAACATTCCTTCCGGGTATGTGTTCTATCACCCATCCCCAGTGCAAAATACTGCTGTGCAGAATTGGACTGAATCTGTCGGATTCAGAACACCGTCCGTATCAGTTATTCGACAAACGGATAAGTTTCAGTACTGAAACGATCGCACTTTTGTGGATTCTCGAGTGGAGCATCATCCCGTATGCAGAAAGCTTGCCTGATTGAAGTTCATCTGATTTGTTTATGATCTGAACACGACATCCCTATTGTATGCTATCAACGTTTGATCCATCCTACACTGCGGTGACTGGATGCTTGAAATTAATATGCTTCTGATAATCAACGTTTCCTCAGTGTTGTACCATTTCGCGAATGCAATGGAATTAGCAACGCTGGTGTCGATGCTTTACCGCTTTTTCTTTTTTATGTGACATTTATTCTTGAGTAAGCTCTCACAATGTACGAAATGTAGGCTTAGGTTGTTGGCGGTTGGAATGTTAAATTAGTCGATTCCTAATGCAATAACAAAACCTCCGAAATGAGGTTAAATCGAGGAGATCAACGACGCACCTTCTGCAATGGATGTTGTTGTATTGGAACTAAGCCTGGTAGCATCGAGCGACTTGGCTTTGTCACGGATAATGAATTTTCTTGCATCTGGTCCATTCCTTTCTCATCCTATCTCCTCTATGATGCTTTTGATCGTTCAATCATCTACTGCTGCAGAAGGGCGATCAAAACCACGTCACGCTTATCCTGTCTGACTGATTCTATTGGCTGATGTTGGTGAAGATTAAGCCATCACGTTTGTTGATCGCCGTTTAGTTTCCACACTTAAAAAAACTGAATATCGACCTAGTTTTCCATTTTTACCGTGTTTATACGGTTTTTAACTGCTGCTAGTACCGCGCTTCTGTGTGTTAGATATATACGCCACCATTCGTACTCGAGGAGGTCCATAACGTGCCTAATTACATGGCCGTTCCAATTTTGATAACAGACCGACAGAAGAAACTGGTTCGAGGAAAGCTTATCGAACACAGTCTAAATGGGTCTACCTCAGTAACCGAAAAGGTTTCCAGCCCAATATCCTGCCGCTCTCTTGTCCCCTAACCCGGTAATTCGGACCTTCTAGTCTGACCGGGTTCTGCGTACTACACTCGGGTGTCTTTCGACAACGTTATTTACTAGCCACCCGTGAATTTTTCGCAAACATTACGCCTTTTGGTATACT